ACTTTCAACAAAATAAGGAACACTTCAAAAGGAACATCCTTACAAAACTTAATTTTAAGTAAAAATAAGTTTAAAAAACTTGGTGTACTGTAAATGTGTTAAGAAACAAACATGTTACAATGGGTTAATGCCTCACTCTACTGGAAACTGGCTTTAACTCTAATGCAAAACAAGTAGAATTAACTGGATGGTCTCACAGCTCATTTGATCACATCATAACTGTTGATTAACTTACAGTAATTAGTTTCCTCTGTTCAAGACAAGAATCAAAACTGAAATAAATGTGGGAGAGGTCACAATTCAAAAGGTACAGAGGTTAAACACAGAGCTACCTAACAGCAAGGTCTCCACAGGCAACCATTCCACGTTCTTTCTTGCAATTTCTTTTTCAAGTAATTTGGTATAAAACTGCATCTCTATAAAAGCTGTTTACACAGTATTCTGAAACATGGAGATTGGAAGGTCGTTTCTATTTGCCAGCATTGAAGAACCTCCTTCTCTCACCCTAATCAATAAAAAGCATTTGTTAGCTGCAACTATATAACAGAAACAACAATTTACGTAAATAAGCAGTAAAGTGCTATCATAAACAAAGACAGAAATTTATGCGTCAAGAGTGCCACAACGACTTCAACATAGATAGATCCCCATACCTCCAAACACCCCAGCTGCAGGCAATGAAACAACTCACATTTAAAATTAGATATATGCTTAAGCACATTAAGCGGCCTTCTCAAGCAGGACGCTCATTCTTTTCCAAAAAGAATTTAATAACTGTTTTCGTGTATGACAATCAGACCAAGAGGTGTTCCCAGTTGTATGACTATAGTAAGAAAAAAACAATTATAATTCCTAAAATGTATATTTTTAAAAAAATTTCTAATGGGTTAGATAGTACTAAAGCGCCAAATCTACTTTCAAAAAAATAAGGAACACTTAAAGAAGCTGAGTGCTAAGTCTTTTGCTGCTGTCTCTGCTAAGAATAGGACCTAAATGAAGGATTTTTTTAACAGTCTGTTTTAAAAACAGAATATAAGCAACTCTAGCTGAAAATGCCTGTGATTTCTTTCATGACCTACAAACAGACGAATAACGCAGAAGAGATGCAGGAGTCTAGAGGCAAGATTTTGTTTTCTTTTGTTACTAATATTTAAAAACAAACCTAGCTCGAAAATGGGTATACCATTTTTTCTTAAGAAAAAACATGAGAGAAAGAGAGAGAGAGAGAAACTGCCAGAAAGAAAACACAACCTCTCCACAAGTCTGTCTTGAAAAAACAGGTTTATGATGATAGAACCATTTTTAATGGCCAGAAGAGATGCTGCAGATCTGAACAACAGAAGCACGAGACCAATGATGACGGTCTAGCCTATGACCATATCAGCACTGCATAAACACCACAACATTCCAGTTCTACTAGAGATGAAATGAGAACAATTTAATCCATCTTCCAAAGCCTCCTTTGGTAGAAAAAAACCCAACATAACACCCACTAAAGGACAGTTTACATTTTTCCTACAAGAGAACAGATTCAAACAAGTCACTAACCTCACCATGCTATTGGCAGTGCCCTGCATCTTCCCTCCCTTGTATCTCCACATATTTTGCAGTTTATTCTAGTCTTCTTTCAATGCATCCTAAATAACATTGTTCTAGTTTGTTTTTAAAACCAATTCAAATCGGTGCCATTGTAAAGGAAGTTTTCCCAGAACAAAAACATCTCTAAAAGGTTCTTTCTATCACTGTATTTTCCTTTCAAGTTCAGCTTATCAGCCTTCATTACCTCCCTCACAGTCTTCAGTCATTGTGGCAACTTATACACATGTAGAAAAGAAAAAGCAAAACGCTTGGAATTCTGAATAGCTTTCTCTGGTAAGCTCCAGTTGCTATAATTAGACAATCCCTTTTCTAAATCACAAATACAACTATCAATAGAGGTAAGAATGAAAACTAGCATCAAATACATAGAACAAGCCAAATCTAAATGTTTCGTTTCCTTCCCGTCACCTCAAAACGTGCCCTGATTTAACCCTCAGAACTCAAATACACCGGTTGTTTCCATGGTTGTCTTTGCATATAAAATACCCATATAAAATAAACAACAAAGTCAAATCATCTTATTCACGTCACAAAATTAATAATGTATAAAAATAGGCAAAGTAATTATGTTTTCACTTTAAGCAAAAAAAAAAAACTATTTTAGAAGCTATGCAGATTCTAGATCACAAAGTAATTCACCTGACCCTTCAAACCAGTCTAACATCATTTCCAGCACCTCAAAAAGACTGACAACCTACAAAAATGTAAAACTCAACTTCACATTGCAGAGACCTCATTTTCTCCATTTCCTGAGTTAAATTTCTAACATCAATCCAAAAGAAAAGATGAACAACCAGTTCAGATGCTCATCTGTTTTACCCTGGTTAATTTTTTAATAGATTACAGAACTAGGTAACAAGTTCATAAAACAGTCCTAAAAGATCCAAGGACTAGAACATGAAGCTTCTTAGTTCCCCTAAATATAGCAGCACTCACATGGCTATCGCTAAGACCATATTAGCTTTTCTATGCTAGAATACCTCCTAACCCTTTCCCCCAAAAAATTTAGATTGTGCTATAAATACTCAGTCTTACATGAAATACAGCATGTAACATCTCAAACCTAGAACAGCTTAAATAAAAATACACATCCATGGATGCTCTTCAAAACTAAGAGTGCTTCACATACAGCAGCTTTCAGAACTCCCTGGTGTAAAATTGGTGGTGTTTTCCCTACTGTTCAAATAGGGAAGCTGAAAAAAACTGAGCTGAAAGCACTTCAACGTTGAGTCACTGACAGAGGCAGGGGCACAGCATACAATTTCTGGCTGCCAGCCTTCCGCTTCTGCCACTACTCTTCATGTCTCTGACTTTAAAACCACATATAACCTCTTTCTAATCAACCACTTGCATTGTTCCCCCTTTTGGGGAGACAGATATGCGAGGTCACAACTACACCAAAGAACAGGGTACCCTTAGTAACGTCACTGCACCCAAGCACTGGAGGGTACGCTACCTCTATAAGAACCTGATTTCACAACAGAAATGCCAGAGACCGCTGGTTTCCCTAGGAGGGCTGGCTTTCAGAAGAGACAACTCCTGTGAGTGTTTGCAGGATAAAGACATCATTCACACAGACACTTCCAACGGCAGGTACTAGAAACCGTTGCTCTTGCAATTCACCTCACAAACCCTCTTGAAAAAACTCTCAGGGTAGAAGTCCGGATAGCAGAGCTGGGAGCAGACAGAGGACTCGGGCAACTCAGCCTTGAAAACAGGAGGGAACTGGTCTCATCTGAAGCTCGAGAGTCCTGCTAAGGCACAGTTGGAGCATGAGTGCAGAAAAGTAGCAGGAAAAACAGGCCAGCAAGAACCCTTATTCCAGCCTTTCCAAAACAGTGCATTATTTCCATTAGCAGCCTGTAAAATTTATTACAGAAATCTTCAGGTACTGTCAGAGCCTTGGAATGATGCATTTATCCATCAAACAACTACCACTGCACCAGCACTCGATACAATGGGTCCCGAACACACTGTTACTCTCATCATATTGATATGGTTAACTTTTAATTATTATTTACAGGATATCAGCTGGCTAGATCCACTGCAGACTACACTAAGTTCTCGCATACAAAATACCCCTGGAGCCACCCTATCTTTCCAGTCTTTCACAGCTTCTGTATGCCACAGTGACAGTTTTGGAGGGAATATTCTTCAGAAGTACTTTTAATTACTATTTCCTCCTTAGCTAGAATATATTAATTATAGCCTGTTCCTCCAAATAATAAGAAAACAAAGATCAGTGCAATACGAACAGTACAAGAAACTTAATTACTGAGTCAGATGTCCTTTAGATGTCAGTATGACCACAGTGAGGAGCAGGAAAATAAAGCACATACGTATCAGTCTCAAGTTGTTAGATCAGTTATCAAAACAATGTCTTTCCTCAGTAACTTCATTATGAAGAGATCAACCAGCTAATTAATCAGATGCCTGTTACGCGTTTCGAAAATGTGCTTTTTTTAATAAAGGAGGCCTGCTGATGTATTTATTACAAAGCAAATGCGGTAAGTGGTTCTGCATGTAAATGCAGAAGTGCAGCATGACTTTGAAGTTTGAAGGTCAGATACAGTAACCGTTCTCATCAAGGTTCTTATGTCAGACTGCATCTTCTGTTTTGCATGTATATTTAGGAGGAGGAAGAAAACAAATTAAAAAGAAAAACATAGAGACAACCAGTTCTGTGACAACTTAAGAAGAACTGGAACACTATCAGTCACCTGTTTTCATTTAAAAATCTGCAAATACCCTATCTCCCCAAAACGAAGAAAGAAAATGGAAAGGGTGCTGGGGGGACACACAATTTCATTCTGCTTTTCAACTTTGTTTTCCTCACCAGGAAAATCAATCTAATTAAGTCAGCAATGATTTTATGCTAAAGAAGAGAACGTCATTTTCTCCATTTTCACAGACATTTCAAACCCATATCGTTTAAGAGAGCCGGAGGATTTTCTTGTTGATCCACACCTTTTATTTTAAAGCAGTATAGATCTGACTGCAGATGCAAATCAGAGGATTGTGTACTGATCTTTTTTCCAGGCAGAGAATTTAGCCATCACCCTTCTATATTCCCAGCAACTTTAGGATACAAAACTCAACAGCTGGGCCCAAAGGCAAACAAATATGCCTCATGTACCAGAGTCTGATCCATGTCAAAAAAGAAAAAAAAAAAAAGAAAAAAAAAATAATGTATGTTTTACACGCATACCTCAAAGACAAATAACCAATATGGATTTCTTTTTAGCACCACCACCATGTTTAAAAACAGCAAAACTGATAACACTTCCCAGTAAAACACTGAGTTATAAACAGTCCCTTCTTACACATAAATAACAGAGATATTATACAAAGCAGAGAGAAACATGGATGGATGTACACAAAATAAACACATTCAAACTTACCCCACTCTAGATACTCAAGGATGTTCTTCTCTCTTCTCAGAGGGGAATTATTACATTCATCATAAAGGCAGATGAGTATATCCAGCAAGGTTTCCACGCTGAAGCATTGCCCATTAGTCTGAGTTGGCCCATCCAAAATAAACTGCTCCAACTGCTTCAAACGCACTTCTCCGGACATGGTTGTTTCAGTTTGCATTGGGGTTTCTTTTTTAAAGATTATTATTACTTTGCCAGAAAAAAAAAAAAAAAAAGTTTTGTTTTTTCTCAAAAGCGATTTGGGGTTTTTTTTTAAAATTATTTTTTTTTTTCCAAAAAAAAAAAAAAAAAAAAAAAATTTTTGAGGGTTTTATTTTACCCACCTCGGTGTTCCCAGCCTGAAACTAAACCCTTGCGAGTTTCAGACGCACACATATAGTGTGCATATCTGTGTACACATAATTTTTAAGAGAAGAAAATAGTTATACTAAAAAAAAAAAATCTTTTAATATGCTTAATAAGAAGGAAAAAAAACCAAACCCCCGTGTGGCCACTCCTGATGCTTTAATAATAATAACCGCACTCAAATTCAACCGAGACTGACTGACACCGATTTCACCGTGCGTGCACAGGCATACGCACTTAATATATTTTAAAAGGTCTTCTCCTTCATTCAAAATGCAGATCATGCAACACGATCCTGAGAGGAGCCCCACCGCATCATTAAAGTGAAACAGCCCCCTTCGGCTCGCACCAGCGTTTCACCTCCCAGAACGGACGGGAAGGAAAAAATGTATGTATTTATACATTTGAAACAGCCCCTTCGGCTCGCACCAGCGTTTCACCTCCCAGAACGGACGGGAAGGAAAAAATGTATGTATTTATACATTTATATACGCGAAAGGAAAAAGAAAACAGGGCGCACGCCGG